ACATTGGCCGGGAATCGAGTCCAGTTCTCTCACATGCTGCATTACAAGCTGATTCCACGGTCAAAACCAACATCCAAAGAACCTGAACACTTCCCATCAGACTCTGCCCAGCTATGGACCTCAGCGGACTAGTTTCACAAATGTCATTGGCCACTCAACTCCATCTCTAGGGACACACAAGGGTCTATTATCAGACAGTCACCAGTCCAGATGGCTGAATTTGAGATCAAAACATTGTATGTGTCTTGCAGAGCCCATCTGTAAAAGCTTAACTAAGACGATTTAAAATTATCAGAAATGGATCAGTCTTTATAAGCTGTTTTCCTTGGGTCAGCCAGACAGCCAGAACCTTCCACTCCCAACTCCCATCCACTGACCAGATAAAGCCACGAGCAGCCAACTCTTCTGGCCAAGCCAACCCTGAGATAGATTCTAGTCTTCCTTCTCTTTCTCGATTCCCATCAAAGGTTTCCTGGCAATAACTGTCACTGGTATCTGTGAGAAAACAAGGTCTTTACTATCCAACACGCGGTCTCTGGGTGGTACAAACAGCTGGCAGTTTAAGTCCAGTGGGACCGTGGAAGGAAGGCCTTCTGATGTGTTTCCCTAATGGTTACAGTCAGGAACACTGAATGGAGCAGGTCTGCTTGGTAACACGTAGGGTTACCATGAGTTGGAATCTACTCAGTAGCATCTGGCTTGGTTTTTTGGTATCCAATGTAAACTTGCACTGACAGATTCTCTTTGGTGCTGGCTGCTTAAAAACTCAGACATAAAAGAACTTCATACACAGTAGCTCAAATGGCACAGAGTTCACTGGTTCAAGGCTTTAGGTCCTGACTTCTGTGCTTCAACTCTAATTTTGCCCTGCTTTGAACTTCCCCATTTCAGATCTCTCTGCAGCCACTTCTTGCTCTGTAGATCCTAAAACAGTCTGGGTCTAAAATAGTCTCACTCTGACCTACGCAGCTCAAATGGCTCTTTTCAGGATATGTAAGCCTGCTCTGGCCCTGCAACTTCCCCCAGCATGGAAAAGCTGTTAAGTTTCTAGAATCATCTCCGGGGACAGGAGAGCAGAAGGAAAAAAGAGCCAGTAGCAGCAGCAGCAGCTGGATGTCCACACACCAGTGCCCCCTCCCCTGCTCCGCTTGGGTGTCCGGAGCTGGGAGAAGTCAGGTAAATCCCAGGACGCAGTGATAAAAAAAAAAAAAAAAACATGGCTGTTGAGCTGATTCCGACTCTCGGTGACCCCTGTGTTGCCGAACAGAACTGCTCCAGAGAAGCAGAATCTTTAGGGAATCTTCACAGAAGTAGATTGCCAGGCCTTTCTGGTCCCACTGGGTGAGTTTGAACTACTGACCCTTAGGTTAGTAAAAAAAAAACCACTGCCATCAAGTCAATTCTGACTCATAGCAACCGCCATTGAGTTTCCAAGGATGTGTATCTTTATAGAAGCAGATTGTCCCATCTTCCTCCCAAGAAGCAGGTGGTGGGTTTGAACCACTGGCCTTCTGGTTAGCAGCCAAATGCCTTGTTCACTACACCACCAGAGCCTTTTTTAGGTTGTGTTCTGGTTCCCTAGTGCCACTCTGACAGGAATATACCACCAATGGGATGGCTTGAACAAACAGGAGTTTATTCTCTTACAGTTTGGAGGCTAGAAGTCTAAGTTCCAAGTGCCAGGATGTAAGGGCTGGGTGAAAGCCACTCAACCTTGGGCTTCAGCTCTGCCTCCTGCTCCCGGCCCACTGGAGCTAGTGGCTTTTCTTCACTTGGACAGATACTGGCTGCTGAGACTGACAAGCCCAAGGTTGACAAGTAAAAAGGCACAGTCCCAATGTTACCAAACCACATGGCAGGCCATTAATTTAAGTCCATTGTAAGTCCCAAGGTTGGCAGAGTATGGCAGGCTGCTGAACAACGACACAACTATATGCAGAGCCCAAGCATGCCATAAGCTGGAGACCATTCCCCAAGGCTTCTCCTTATATACAAGAAACAGACCATATCCCAAAGGCAGCTACTCAGCTGCTCACAGTAGATTCCACCATGGAGTTGATGACCAGTCTCATCATGGGGAATAGCTACATCCAGCTGCCCAGACACTCAATGAGGGCCAGCCAAGCTGACACAAACTGAACTACCACAGGTTAGTAGCCAAGTTCAAACCTCTTGCATCACCCAGGAACTAAATATATTGATCATGGTCCATAAGGTATAGTACCTAAGGCATTTGACTGCTAACCAGAAGGTTGGTGGTTCAAACTTCCACCATGGAAGGAAGATGGGTCAATCTACTTTTGTAAAGATTTACCTCCTCGGAAACCCAATGGGGTCACTATGAGTGGGAATCAACTTGATGGCAGTGAGTTTAAGGCCCCTGTATCTGCTGATCCACTTGCCCATGAAGCATGGGGTCTGTGGTCCTTAAGCAGAGCCGGCCATTTGTTCCAAGCCGTGGCGCCTTTCCCTAACACTACATCCAGCCCCCACCTAAGTGAAGTAATAGACCTTTGTCCCCAGTCGAGAAGCATCATAGCTCCTCACCTCTTCCCAACTGGACTGTCAGCAGGGAGTAGTCTCTCCACTTCACGCTGCTGGCAAGTCAATCCTGAAATTCCTTGGATCAGTTGGCCCAGGACTCCCCTCTTAGAGTGATGGACACAGTCAGTCCCCTGTTCCTGGAAGCTTGTCCTAAGTGAGAGCCACCTGTGTTATTTATGTATGCGTTCAACAAATAAGCATGTGAGAGCCCCACATGCCAGGCACTGGACCAGGCACAAGGAATACAGGCAGACCTCGTTTTATTGCAATTCACATTACTGTGCTTTGCAGATACTGCTTTAAAAAAAAAAAAAAATGGAGGTTTGTAGCAACCCTGCATTGAGCAAGTCTGTCGGTGCCATTTTTCCAACAGCAGACACTCACTTGTATCTCTGTCACATTTTCATCCTTCTCACAATATTTCAAACTTTTTCATAATGCTATTTCACACTTAATAGACTACCCCAGAAAAACCAAACCCACTGCCATCAAGTCGATTCTGACTCATAGTGACCCCCATTGGGACTCCAAGGCTGTAAATCTTCATGGAAGTAGATTGCCTCATCTTCCTCCTACAGAGCAGCTGGTGGGTTTGAACCACCAACCTTCTGGTTAGCAGCCAAAATGCCTTACCCATTATGCCACCAGAACTCCTTGAATAGACTACAGCATAGTGAAAACATAACTTTTATGTGCACTGAGAGACCAGTAGGTTCTTGTGACTCGCTTTATTGTGATACTCACTTTATCTGCCATGGTCTGGAACCAAACGCAATGTCTCAAAGGATGCCTGTGTAACAGATAACAAGGCAGAGTTCCCACCCTCGGGCAACTTTCAGCCTAGTGGAGAGGGACACACAATAAACCCACAAACCAATAAGCAAGCAATTTCACAAAGCAATAAATGCTAGGAAGGAAGCAACACAGGGAAATGTGATGGAGAGAAATAGGGTCCAAATGGGAGGTGGGCATAGTGGCCACCGCCATCCGAGTACTCAGAGCAGACCTCCCTGAAAAGGGACATTTGAGATGAGGTGAGATGATAGAAAAGAAGCTGACTATTCACAGATCTTCAGGAAGAACATTCCAGAAGGAGCAGCAATACATGCCAAAGCCCTGAGGAGGGAGAAAGCCACACCTTGATAGGACAGAAGGAAGGCCGGTAGCATGGAGCAGAGTGAGTGAGAGGGAGAGAGGCCAGAGATGGGGTTGAAGGGCGGGCAGGGACCCGTGGGTCAGCTCAGGCCCATTGGGTTGGGGACAGAAACCACCAGAAGCTTAAACACAGGGAGTGGTCAGATCTGTGCCTTGCAGAGATCAGTCTGGCTGCTGCAAGCAGAGTTCAGAAGAATGGACTCCAGGTCCCTTGGACCAGAGTGGTACCCACAGAGGCAAAGAGATGATATGGGATTCGGGATACATTGTGAAGAACTCTAGGACTTAGAACAGACAGCAGTCCAGCATCTGTACATACTCACTAGTATCCTCATGTGAGTGACCCCACACACACATACACACAAACACACACGATCCTCCTTGTACTGTGCAGGGTAGTGGTCCAGACTCCAGATTCTGGAGTTCAAATCCCAACTGATCCACTTGCTGGAGATAAAACTTGGTTCAAGTCACTGAACATCTTTGGATCCTGGGTGCCTCATCTGTAAAATGGGATGATAATAGCCGTGCCCTCCTGTGGTTGTTGAGAGGACTGTGTTAGTTACGAAACTGAAGCAAGGAATCGTACCTGCCATAAGGAAGTGTTTCCTAGGGTTGCTGTAACAAATTACCGCAGACTTAGTACATTAAAACAACACGTATTTATTCTCCTACGGTTCTGGAAACTAGAAGTCTGGCATTCCTTCCACTGGGCTCAAGTCCAGGTATCAACAGGGCTGGTTCCACCTAGAGGCTCCTTGTCTTTTGCAGCTCATTCCTTGGCTCCTGGCCTCATCACTCCAGTTTCTGCTTCCATCCTCACGTCACCTTTTCTGTGTTTGACCTTCTTGTCCACCTCTTGACATTCCAGTCAGGGCTCATCTCCACAATCAGGATAATCACCTCATCTCATGAGCCTTAAATTAATCACAGTCTCTTGTGATATAAAGTAACATCCACCGCTTCTTGAGATTAGGGTGTGGGTATCTCTGGGGCCATTATTCAGCCACTGCACGAGATAAGCAATAAATAAAGGTTATACCTATTATTATCATAATCATTATCAGAGCAGCCCTCCAGTACCCTCCCAAGCAGTGTGGGAGGAGAGAGGCTGTGGAGAGACCCGTGTTCTGACTCCCAGAAGCCCCTGAGTGTGGCCCTGAGCCTGAGCTGGAGCCCAAGCTGGAGGCGGGGCTGGATGGATCAGACAGAGGTCCAGTTGCCCATTAGTCTGGTGAAGGGATAGGAGCAGAAGGCAGATAAGGCAGGAATGTGCAAGCCACAGTGACGCTCAGGTGAGGCTAAGGCTTCCTGATGGTGCTGTATTCTATGGGCTCCTCGTGGCTCCCCATAGGAATGTCGGCCACGAGGTGGCCCGTGTTACTGTAGGTCAGTTCCTGATCCGAGGTATC